GAGGTATGAGATCTCGGAATTCTAGTTTTGTATGTAAGTGTATGCCAGTGTGTGTGTGTGTGTGTGTGTGTCTGTGTGTGTGTGTGTGTGTGTGTGTGTGTGTGTGTGTGTCTGTGTGTGTGTGTGTGTTGTGTGTGTGTGTGAAACGGGGAATGAAAGGTATCATACAAAACTGAAGATTTTGTCGCTGTTCATCATATCTAGTACTTTTCTGTAACTACCTCTACGTATAAAACTTTGAAGTTATTCTGTGTACCTGTGTTTCCAATTCAATGCCTTTATCGTATACCACCATAGGAGAGATATACATGTACATAAAGCCTCAAAGGTGTTTGTAAACAAGGAGTACATAAAATCACATATGTACATAACATAAACATAAACATACAAGAAATTGTATAAACACACACTGCCATGGCAGTTCCCAATCACTTGGTGTGTGTGTGTGTGGGTGGGGGGTGGGGGTGTGTGTGTGTGTGTGTGTGTGTGTGTGTGTGTGGTGTGTGTGTGTGTGTGTGTGTGGTGGTGGGTGGGTGGTGTGTGTGTGTGTGTGTGTGTGTGTGTGTGTGTGTGTGTGTGTGTGTGGGTGTGGGGTGGTAGTGTGTGTGTGTGTGTGTGTGTGTGTGTCCATATTGCACACACTATGTCTCTGTTGTCTTGTCCAGAAGCCATGTCCTGTGACTCATGATGACTTTACTTCTAGATCAAAGATCAAACGATATTTATCCTGACCTCCAGGCTATACCGACAACAGCTGCTAAAAACCTGTATAATTTTAGGGTTTCAACTCAAAACTATTTTTCAGTTTAGCCTTTCGATGTTTGGGATGAATTGGACTCACACTTATCTGCTTAGAAAACAACAGTTTCTCAAAATTTTAGCTGGCGTCTTTCGGCGTCTCCTTCTTAAAGATGCTATTAAAAGTCTTCATTGATTGATGTGTCGACAATAGCTCTTAAGATGGGGTCATAGGTCGAATTTCCGGACGCCGTTTTATTGAATTGAGGCGTGAAGCGCCTTTGGCGTACAGATACAATTTTCTTAGTAAAACGTTAAACTTTATTCCAACACACTATTTACAGGGATCAAATTTTCAGCGACTACTGTCGCCTTCATCAGGATAATTAATGACCAATCACTTCAAAACGTGATCTCGCGAGAGTTACGGTTTACTATGATTACTACCAACACAGATGAACTTTCATGATAGATACAATTTTCGTCCTACGATGAGAAATGCTGTCGTAGAGGTTCAAACATGGGTTCAAAGAAAGTTTGTTTTTTTCAGCGTCGTTTGTAATTGTCCACATCAGGACCATTTTGTAAGTCTGTTGTGTGAGGCCTTACGACGTTCTACTACTTTTGTGCTGATTTTCTACGATTAGGGGAAGGGTCTTGTCTTGTTTGGGTACTGCACAACACCCCTAGATTGGGGTAAAGCGTGCAGGGGAGCTGTGCGATGCGCTATTGCTGCGTCCTCAGGTGTTGTAGTACTGCAGTGTTGAACTTCGTAGGTTCCGCAGTATCAGTTATCTCTTGGGGCAAAATGTTCCAATCTCTGACAGTTTGTGGAAAGTATGAATATTTGTAACAGTCTTTGTGAAACGTTAGTGGCTTGTATGAGGCTACGTGGCATCTTTACATCACAAAACTAATAAACTGGTGGATGTCTCAACTACTAAGTACCTAATACCAGCCCAGAAGAGAACAAAAAATAGCCATGCCTTCAAGTACCAGAGTTATCAACCAAGGATTGAGGTGTTCAAGAATTCATTCTTTCCTAGAACTATGGCAGAGTGGAACTCGCTGTCACCAAGTACAGTAGGGGCATTATCATTAGATAGCTTTAAACAATGTCTGGAGTTAGATGTTCAAGGGTTAGGTGTAACAAGTCGATCGGTGTAATATAGCCAGCTGCCGCCGCGTCGCGTGCCTGCGAAGCTGGTGTGTTACGCCGAAAGGCGGTTATACCGGCTATATAGATACAGATACAAAACGTACAGCTGAATGTACGACACACTCCAGACTATGACAGGAATGTCGCCCTTCAATTTACTGTCGCATACCTATTGTGCACCTGTCGTGCGACGTCTGTGAGAGGAGGTGTAACAGTCGTTACGGTTGGTCACATCGCTCAGCCCCGGGGCGGAGTGATTCACGGAACAAAAACTTAAAAGTAAACAGTCGTTTCATGCTCTCACATAAGGCCACACCAAGTAAATTTTATGGATGACATCCTCCGCAGACTCCAAATCTAATGCAAGCGGGCAAAAAAAAACAAGACGGGCCGAAAAAAACAAGGTTCCTACAATTCAAAATTTTGACTCAATCATTGTACAAATGGTTTTGATTCAGTGGGAACATCACATATACACAGCCAGCATCACATATCACTGCATCAAAGTAAGAAACAAAACATTCATCCAGAGCCTTTTCTTGTCTCTTCTCTTCATAGATATCTACCATCCACCTTCCGGCATGGCAACAGACATCTTTACCCATTTTCGGCATGTTGACCACTGTCAGAGGGCAACAAAATTTCTTGTTTTTTTTTTTACAAAATTAATGCGCGCGGTTATGTCATCCATAAAAATTACTTGCTGTGGCCTTACTATGTACATAGTCATAGTCAAACACATGTAAAAATGGCACGTGGCACGTCCGTGTTTGTGCGAACGAAAAAAAAACACTTCATATCAACAATAAACACATATCGTACTCATGATTATTTCTTGCCCAACATTTTTTTTAGATTTGTTGTCTTTTATATCATCGTGCCTGAAAGCTACCAGACCGAGTCCTGGGCTGGGAATTAGTAGTGTAAACGATACGTTAAACTCAACCTGTTGATATGTATGTAATAACTTCGTGAGAAGAACTTGTTTGTTTGTAGTTGCAGTATAGTTGTAGCAGACCTTATGAAAGTCGCGTCATTTATGTTGTGTCAATAATTAGAGGTTAAAAATGTTTTCATTTATTTGCATGTCAATCAACAGTTCTTGCTTACAAACCAGTCTATCTGCTCAAATTATCTAGTGTCACTGACGAAAGGTAGTGGATGCTACCTAAAACGTCTGACCGTTTCTTTTCTTCTTTCTTTCTTTATTGGCATTGACAACAGGTCAAGACACAGGTTATCAAGGCAGTGAAAACTGGTATTAGATAACCCACATATACGAACGTGGGGACAAACATGTAATAAGAAATCTGTAAATACAAGACCTGAAATAAAGATAACATATTAACTGGTTACAAGGTACAATACTATAATACATGATATAAGAAAATCAAGACATTCCTAACTAGCAGCAATTTGTGCAAAGAGTGTAGATACTAAATTGGGATGAATGGAAGGCTTTGGGTTTCCAAAATCATGTTCAACTGCTTGAGAAACTGTTTTGGCTGTCAATAAAGAGTTCTTTTTGTCCTCTGTAGAAGCTGCTATACGTGGGGATGTCCGTATTCTCCATGTTGGCCACCATCACGTGCGCTGTCTGTAGTCTGGTCGGCTTCTTCAGGGGCAAGGAAATGGAATACCAGGTAAGTTTAGTACCCTTAATCTCCAAGCAGATCCCTCTCGGTGACAAAAAGACAGTATCAAATTGGCCAGACAGTATCCATTAGCCAGAGAAGGTCCGCGGCCCGCATCCAAACACAACGGTAGGACAGAAATGATCGCCAGAAACACCAAAATATATGAATATATGTAAATGTAAAAAAACTAATAATTCATTATGTCTTGAAAATCAAATTTATATTTATTTTGTAGATCTCGAACGTTTATTTGGTATAGTTCTGTACGTAATCATGTTCACTCTGTTACGTTGTAGTGCTGTCGCTGTCAGCTGGCGGTATGCTAATAAGGCATGTGTGGTTGACTGCGCGGGCCCGAATTGCACTACAGCGCGCTGGGCGGCATCGTAAAAGTATTACCGCTACCAGTTCACAGATTGTGGGAAATAGGGGCACGGGGAGGGACTTTGACACATTTCTCAAAGAACTACTCCTCCCCTTGTCCTCTGTGGCTGCGACGTGCGGCAGTGGTTAGTGGGGGTCAGGACAAAAAAAACAGCCATATATAAAAATGTAAACGATCATTTGCCCCACAACCTCTGCTTGGAGAGTATATTACCCTGACAGACAGTTACAACGCGTTGTCTAGTATTAGTAGCCGACAGGTGCAACATATTGCGCCTAGGAATTCTTACAATGTGTATTAGGGTCCACAAGTAATACGTAGGTGTTACCTTCTGACTCTATACATCTAGGAACCCAAGATGTTATATTTTAACAGTGTTATAATATAAAGGGAAGTTGTATAGCCAGTTGTATAGCCTAGCAACCCAATTAGTTTGGTGGAGACTAGAAAAAAATTATCAGGAAGGGACGCTGTAGCCTAGACCTCAGTCGTTAAAGCTATACCCCTTCGATCTACCTCCCTTCGGCCTTCACCCTCAGATCGGAGGTATATCCAGTCTAGGGACGCTATAGTAGACGCTCATCAATTTTAACACTGTCATCGTGCCTCATAACTTCATACAGTCATGTCCGGTCATCCTTTGTCTTAAACGCAGTAAATGTCACAAGCCTCACAAATTTACTATCAGTTTTACGAGCTAGCCGTAGCTGTAGGTAAGGGTCAAACAGAGGTGACCAGATTATAGTGTTCGGTGTCAAGGAAGTTGAGTTTTAGAATGTCAAGGCTGTCCTACTTATAGCAATGGTAGTTTTTAGGGGCTAGAATTTGTTAATGAAAATCATACTATTTTGTCAAAAATACAAGAAACAGCTCTATTTGAGGGGCAAGAATTTTTCAGGGGCTAGAATTTGTTAATGAAAATCATACTATTTTGTCAAAAATACAAGAAACAGCTCTATTTGAGGGGCTAGAATTTTTCAGGGGCTAGAATTTGTTAATGAAAATCATACTATTTTGTTAAAAATACAAGAAACAGCTCTATTTGACCGATGACTTATCGGTGCAACAGATGTAGAAGTCATTCTTACCAAATCAACAACTGGTCACAAGGACAGGGGGATGGCGGCTCACTATGGTGTTATGTTTAGTCAATACAGTTGAATCTCCAAGCAGATCTTTTGGTGGCTATAATTGCAAGACAGTGCCAACTTAGCAAGACAGTACGGCAAGACAGTATCAAATTGGCACGATATCATTGGTAAGGCAGTATCCAATACACCGCCCAGTGGTTTGGTTAAAGCCTCGGTCACAACCAGCCGTACGTGCTTTTTGTCCGTACGTTTTTTTGGGAGGCCACGTCTGCTACGTTTTTCTGAAAACGTGCGTTGTACGCTCATAGGCTGTATAAGGCACGCACGTACAGGTGGTGAATCCGCAGACTGCACGCATGAAAAGTTTTACATGCACTTAAAGCGACGGTCACAACTCGCCGTGCGTGCTTCTGCGTGCTGTCTACGTGCAAAAACGTGGGCAATCGTGCGGCATCCGTGCGTGGTGAGATTTGGGAGCACGCAGACACGCCGTAGAACTTTAAGTGCATGTAATACTTTTTCTACGTGCGGTCTGCGGATTTACCACCCGTGCGTGCGAGTACGTGCGACGCGCGTGCCCCGTACACCCTATGAGCGTGCAACGTACGGACTCCGTGAGTCTAACTTCACTATTCTCACGTGCAATTGCTGTACGGACAGCGCACGAAGCATGTGCGTGCCACGCACGGTGCTTGCGTCATCCGTGCTTACTCCTCACTTCCCAGTTGACCTGCTCAATGACCACGCAGAACACACGTGCACCATACCAGGTGCTCCGCACGTGCAACGCACGTGCAACGCACCTGATTTCTACAGTATATAAAGACGACTTGACCGGCGACTGCCAACTCGTCTCCAAGATGCCCAGGAAGGCTCAGAAGAAGACTACCAGACAAGACCCAAAGAAACGGGCCGCGGAAGACACCAGGGCGGCTAGTGATGATGAAGTTAACAGGAGGTGCACGCACTTACAACGTGCGAGTGAGTAAGGAAACCGTGCGTACGCCGCACGTGTAGGTACGGCCTGTACGGGGCAACGTAGCAATCGCACAGAGATCGTGCGTTGTAAGCACGTACAACTCACTTACCACTTGCGCAACGTACGATGCACGCAACCGCTGACGGCCAGGCGTGTCGTGCAGACCACGTACGTACACCTTGCGCAACCGTGCGAGTGACGTACTCCCTCGGCCGGCCACCCTACGTTTGCAGAAAAAACGTAGCAGACGTAGCCACGACAAAAACGTACGGACAAAAAGCACGCACGGCGAGTTGTGACCGAGGCTTAAAGTTCTACGGCGTGTCTGCGTGCTCCCAAATCCGTAGGATTCCGTACGGAGGTGGTACTCACCACGGATGCCCTACGTTTGCCCACGTTTTTGCACGTAGACAGCACGCAGAAGCACGCACGGCGGGATGTGACCAAGGCTTATACAAGGATACCAGTAGTACGAAAAAGAAGCCTTATGAAATCGCCTAAAAATACGTCTGACGTCGACATAAGCCAACGCTAGAACCTCTGCTTGGAGCTGTATCGTAGTATTTTATTGGCATCCCATGGAGTCTGTTGGAGGCTAGAAAAAAATGCGTATAGATGGGTCGCAATGGCGGACGATCAATTGATGTCAGAACTTAATTTTAAGCCAACCACCGTGCCCGTAATCTCAAGTAATTCTGTACCATGCACTCTTTGTTCTAAACTCGGGAAAAGTCACAAGCTCACTAAAGCTACGGTCACATCCCGCCGTACGTGCTTGTGCGTGCTGTCTACGTGCAAAAACGTGGGCAAACGCAGGGCATCCGTGCGTGGTGAGTACCGCCTCTGTACGGAATCCTACGGATTTGGGAGCACGCAGATACGCCGTATACGTAGAACTTTAAGTGCATGTAAAACTTTTTCTACGTGCGGTCTGCGGATTCACCACCCGTGCTTGCGAGTACGAGCGACGCGCGTGCCCCGTACGTGCCGTGCGGCGTGCAGCCGTGCGAGTGACGTACGAGTGACGTGCGAGTGACGTGCGTAGACGCCACTCCTTCCCCACGTTTTCAGAAAAAACGTGGCAGACGTAGCCTGCCAAAAAACGTACGGACAAAAAGCCCGGACGGCGGGTTGTGACCGAAGCTTAATTTATTATCCTTTTACGAGCTAGCTATATATCTGTAGCTGTAATTTAGCTCATCTATAGGGTCAAACAGGGGTTAACAGGTTGCAGTGTGATACTAGAGTGTCAAGGCTGGGCCTAGCCATAGACGTAGTAGTACACTAGCTACTGAAGAAAAGAGGAAATTTGTTAAACGAAGAAAACAATTGTATAAAGCTTTGCAGATGCACAAGATAAGGTGTTAAGTGGTTGACGTCAAACAGTTGCAACGGGCTGAAGACAGTAGATACAGCGGTGGACACCCTTCGGCAATAGATGCATGGTCAAGGGCAAGGACGATGAAGTATTGAATGAAGACCTTTATTGTACATTTGTGTTCTACATAACTAAGTACAGGTCGCATGGGTACAGAACATCAACATAAACATATACATTACATACATATGAACATATAAGAGTGTAAATAAATGTCTAATTTCTATTCTTTTCGGCTTTATCTCGCTTAGTAGTGATTGTATGGATATATGCGGCTGTGAGATTACTTCGAGTAGGTTTAGCAAACGTTAAAAGGAATACAAATTTCTCTTTACTAGTGAAATATCTGAAGTGGGGAAATATACTTAATACATGGCCAAAAAATATAAATCTGTCTTTACTATACAAGGGGCAATCTATGGTGAAATGTATTTCATCTTCTATTTTGCCTAAACTACAGAATTGACAGGTTCTTTGTTCTAGAGGAGTGCGGTTATGTCTTCCTGATTCGATTCGTAATTTGTGACAACTGATTCTCAGTATTAGATTCCTTTCTTCGACTGCACGAAGAAGTGATATGGCTACTCTCCAAGCACAAATTTAGGCTTCAGCTTATTTTTGACGTGTTTTAGGCAATATCATTGGGCTATTTTTTTTGTACTGGTATTTTTTTCGCCATCAAGACGTTTTGGATACTGTCCTGCCAATGACACTATCTTGCCAATTTGAATCTTGCAGCCATCGATCAAAACATCAGCTTGTAGATGATGTTATGACCAGCAAGTATATTTCTCCGCAAGGTTGTGGGTTCAAATCCCATGTACAACAGGCGGTGTCTTGTAAACAAATATGTGCGCTATTGGTATTCATGATTAGGCCACAACAAGTGAATTTTATGGATGACATCCTCCGCAGACTCCAAATCTAATGCGAGTGGGCGAAAAAAAACAAGGCGGGCCGAAAAAAACAAGGTTCCTACATTTTAAAATTTTGACTCAATCATTGTACAAATGGTTTTGATTCAGTGGGACCATCACACATAGACAGCCAGCATCACATATCACTGCAGCAAAGTAAGAAACAAAACATTAAATCAGAGCATTTTCTAGTCTCCTCTCTTCATAGTTATCTGCCATCTACCTTCCGGCACGGCAACAGACGTCTTTGCCCATTTTTGGCACTGTCAGAACTTACTCACTCACTCAGGACCGCATGCTCCGGGGAGCGTAGCGCCTCTCCAAGTTGTCTTCCACTGCCAGAAGGCAACAGAATTTCTTGTTTTTTTCTCCAAAATCAGGCGAAAATTAATGCGCACGCTGATGTCATCCATAAAAATTACTTGCTATGGCCTTATCAGTAGAACTGTGATTTGTCATTTCGGTATGTGTTTGAGGGATAACATTGAGCACGTCAAGGTAAGGAACGCGTCACAATAGCGAATAGACAGGCACGCCCCAGTGTAAAAGGATGAGACTTGGGTTACGCCCTGGGTGGCTTAAGAATAATCTATCAGGCCTTACGCAACCTGTATTTACTATTAAACTGGGATAAAGAACTGGAGCTGAGTCATGATAGAGATTTATAGGTTTAAAGTTGGCGCCACCCAGGAGGGTATGTAATAGTTCACCCAACAAGTCACCAGTAACATGGCCAGTGTCCTCTCGGTCACTGTGTGACTTTTGGGGACCGGCCGAGGTTCGCAGGTCACCAAGCGACGTCCAATGTTACAGGGTAGACTTTCAGGCGAAAAATACTCCTTGGAATATCAACATTTTTAAATTCTGGCGAGGTCCTTGACATCGTGATCGTTTATGCAAAACAAACAAATAAAATTCAGCCTGACAACGGAAAACAAAACCTCGAACCCTGCTTAATATATATATATATATATATATATAGTATCGTATTCCGTACTGTATGAGTACTGGGTGTCAAACAAGCAAGATACTAGTATATAGGGGCATCGAAAGTGGAGGTCTGTTTAACAAATACGAAAGATTAAATTTTTAACTACCATGTCGAAAACGGTAGTGTATCCGTCTGTCCTTTTTTTTATAAAAATAACGAAAAATAACCATTGGGCAAAGGAGTGACCATTATGTGACTAATGAGTTTTATAATTTTTAAAAGCTATTTTAAGAGAATATGTAAATATTGTACAATGAATGAAATACATTTTGTTAGCCAGTGTCCTCACTATGAGACCGAAAGAAACAGATTATTTCATACAGTTACAACAATTTCTCCATCCTTCGTCATTTAGAAGATTACAAAAAAAAACTGCATTTCTACTAAGATCACAAAACCCACTAATTATGCAGAATGTGGGACTATGCATTATCCACTGCCTTCAAAGAAGAGGTCGAACCCCATAATAACTATCGTAGTAGTAGAAGTAGAAGTTTTTTCCAGACAGTTGTTACGTGTCTCCTGTTACTGTATTGCAATGAGTATTATACTTGATTGTAAAAGCAATTAGCCTTCGGGCATGATTTTGCAAATAAAGTTATTATTTATATAATAAGATACAAGCACGCAACACGCTGTAGATCTAAGGCCACACCAAGTAAATTTTATGGATGACGTCCTTTGGAGACCCTAAATCTAATGCGAGAGGGCGAAAAAAAAACAAGAAGGGCCCTAAAAAACAAGAGGCCTAGATCAGAAAAATACTAAGAGGCGACAAATGTTAGGACACAAATTGAATGAGGTGACACAGTGTAACAAGCAAGAAGTCTTTTATTCATCATCAAAACAGCAATAAATCAGGTGGAACAGCAGTTGTCGTCCTGTCCTGTTTTCGCGTGACGGGTTTCACGTCAATCTTACGATTTGCGGCACTGTCGTGACTCTTTGGTCATAGTTACAGGAAGCGGAATGTCTTGTTTTTTTTTCTAGGAACAGGTCAAAATCAATGCGCGCGCGGACGTCATCCATAAAATTTACTTGGTGTGGCCTAAGCTAGTTAAACAGGTCCGATGGCAAATTGCACAGTCATCTCCATGACACGTTAGCTACGACAATGTATGTTTGAGCACGTGCTGTGTAATGACTTCACATCGCACAGTGTTCTGCCAATGTTTCCCCCAAAACCTACCTGTTACTGAATACCCCTGGGACTCTCCCGATCTTATCAGTTTGACGGCTTTGGAATGTGTTTAACGCTGGTCATGTCAACTTTGGGAGGACATTGTTTTTAGATATTCCAGACTTCTATAAAACGTTGGCAATCACATATAGCACTAACTACATACGGTATGATAACGGATAAGATTAAAGATATACAATTTCAATTTATTAATTATGGGTTCACCACACCACTGCCATTTTTTAAATGGATTCAGCTTCTTCATTTTAGGGCCTAAGGTCCTGAAATTTGGTATGGAGGTACAGTGGGCAAATACCCCTAGGCGTTTTTTAAATTTTTGTGATACACGCTTTTAGAATGGTTTTATTTGAGTTTTTTGGCTGTGTTATAGCAAATGTATTACTGTGTTAGTGTGCCGTGTTTACCACGTCTGGGCATGAGTCATCACAATGGAATGCAGGGCATCAACCAATAGGCATGCAGCTTTCCTCTATACTTCTTGCTGATTGGCTGTTGGGATTTAACTTGATTAACACCTGCACAGAGCATTTCCACCTGCACAGAGCATTTCTTGCTGATTGGCTGTTGGGATTTAACTTGATTAACACCTGCACAGAGCATTTCCATACTGACAGTATGTCTTTATTCAAGTGTTTTGGTAGGTATTTCAAGCTTTTCTGCTCCAGCATTGGAATGCGGGGCATGAACGTTTGTTTTTTTATTTTGAAAATCAACAGTTTGCATTATGCAATTAAAAATCCTAACCAATAAAGTAGGGAATAGCTATCCAACTGTTGTTTTAGTTGTATGTTACTTCATATTATAGTTATATCAATGTAAATCATTGTTTTCCCTTGTGTTTCTCATTCTTTCCCTGCCATGTCGTAAAATGTGGTGAACCCATCGCTGTATTTGCTCCAAAGCAAATATTGGCCTTTCTAGTTTAACCAGTAATTACAACTCAGGCCATTTTGGCCTGCTTTTCAGGTAATCCTGGATACACATAATAATACACACACAAATACAAATACACAGTACATAAACTATTACTAATTACAACATCCTAAACATCAACAGTGTCATATACCAAAGTGTAGATTGTAAAAAAAGATGTTCTTTAAGACAGTATTGAAACAGTTAAACATCAAGCGAAACGTTGGTCCATCTGTCTATCCAAAATGGCGTCCTTGAGTTTCTAGAAAGACTGCCAATATCAAAGTGACAGGCGTTACTTTACAGCTTAACGTATGGGGAACACTGGGGAACACAAAAGTGGTATAAGGCCACACCAAGTAAATTGTATAGATGACGTCCGCGCGCGCATTGATTTTGGCCTGCTCCTAGAAAAAAAAACAAGAAATTCCGCTTCCTGTAACCATGACCAAAGAGTCACGACAGTGCCGCAAATCGTTAGATTGACGTGAAACCCGTAACACGAAATGGGTAAAGAGCACATGCTTTGTTTCTGCAGGCCTGCAAAAATGTGATGAAAGAAACAGGACAGGATGACAACTGCTGTTCCACCTGATTTATTGCTGTTTTGATGATGAATAAAAGACTTCCTGCTTGTTGATCTGTGTCACCTCATTCAATTTGTGTCCTAACATTTGTCGTCTCTTAGTATATTTCTAATCTAGGCATCTTGTTGTTTAGGGCCCTTCTTGTTTTTTTTTTGCCCTCTCGCATTAGATATAGGTTCTCCAAAGGACGTTATCCATAAAATTTACTTGGTGTGGCCTAATTGTAAAAATGGAAGCACGAATGTTACATAATATGTTAGAATTATGCAAAAGGAACAGACAAATTGGTTTGATCTGCCTGTTTGTTTTGTTGAATCAGGACACATGTTTCTCAGCTTTATCGTGTTGATTTGGCATATGTATATATAATTCTTTATTTGCAAAATCATGCCCGAACGCTAACTTCTTTTACGGTCAAATATACTATTCGGTACAACACAATACGCTAGCTATTAAAGTATTATGAGGTTTGACTTCTTCTTTGAAGGTTAAATAGTCCCACATTCTGCATATATGTACAAAGGTCATCAAAGGTTAGGCCACACCAAGTAAATTTTATGGATGACGTCCTTTGGAGACCCTAAATCTAATACGAGAGGGCGAAAAAAAACCAAGAAGGGCCCTAAAAACAATGGGCCTAGATTAGAAATATACTAAGAGACGACAAATGTTGGGACACAGGTTGAATGAAGTGACACAGTATAACAAGCAAGAAGTCTTTTATTCGTCATCAAAACAGCAATAAAACAGGTGGAACAGCAGTTGTCGTCCTGTCCTGTTTCTTTTCTTTCATCACATCTTCCCTTATCCCACTGTCGTATCTTTGGTCATAGTAACAGGAAGCGGAATTTCTTGTGTTTCTTTTCTAGGAACAGGCCGAAATCAATGCGCGCGCAGACGTCATCCATAAAATTTACTTGGTGTGGCCTTATCAAACATGTACAAAGAAAATATGCAGCGGCGCTTGGTTGTCAAAATACGAGGACAGTCCAACGCGAGGAATAAGACTACTAAACGTGTGTTGTATAATTTTGCCCGCGGGAAAGGTTTTAAGTGCGCAGCTGACGTCTCCGTTTGTGATGTAAAAAATGGGTGTCAGACCTATCATCTATTATCTACAGACACGACACAAATGACACCTGTGACTATAATAAGGACTTGGTTTGTTTCCGGTCGACATCTTGTAGTGCCACTTCAAAGCGTCCTTTGTTTAGCCTGGAAGCAAGACGAAAGACATATTTTATTAATTTCTAGACGGCTGCTAAAAAAACATTCGAAGATGTATGTTCATGCGAAACGTTTGACACTTAGAAATGAAGGATTGTGAGCGAATTAAAATTAAGGCGGTGTGGCCTTATGGTATTAATAATATCTGCAAGTTGTGACGTTGATGTTGGCCTCCTTTACCCTCCTTGTTTTGATGAAGAATTTTCCCCCATTATTCCAGGACGTTTACTTCCAGCGGCGCATCAGTGGCGGCGCTATGGCGATGTTCTTGGCTACGGTGGCCGTCGCGTTTCTGAACGCCACGGGAGCGTTCGTGGGCGCTCTGCTGGTGTCGCTGGACGTGTGCGTGTCCGTGCCGCCTCAGGGCGAGGGGGACCCCGAGGAGCGGCGGGAGTTCACCCGCTCCAGCAGCGAGAGGTCCTCCACCGAGATGACTCCGGTAGGTGACACAAACCAAGGAGCTTAGAGCTTATTGTCTAAGGCCATGTTAATTTGATTATATGGATGATATCCGCGCGCGCATGAATTTTCGGCCGTTTAAAAAAAAAGTTTTCAACCATACTGTAAATCGTACAAAACAGTTGCAAAATGAGCAAAAATATACCGTAAGTTACAAAAAAAACCATACCAATGTCGTAGAATGCCAAAATCAAACGAAAAAAGACGAAATTGTAAAGAAATGAACTTGAAGACTAGATTATTCGCCAAACCATATTCTGTCCCATTTGTTCAACCCTCATGACCACGTAGATTTCATAATGAAAACAACTTTTTTTTTTTGCAAAACTTTTTTTTTATTCGCACGCGCGCATCAATTTTGGTGATCCCGGAGGATGTCATCCATATAATCAATTCAACATGGCCTGAATAGGATAGAGGAAGAGGAACACTTTGTATCAGAATGTAGTTTATACAACGAAGAGAGAGCTGAGCTTTATATAAAACAATTGCAATGTATGTTTCCCCATTTCACACATCTTAGCAACAAAGATAAGTTCATATTTCTAATGGCTTTAGACAAACCTTCGATTATAAAACACATCTGTGCTTATATCTACATCGTTACTAAGAAGCGAGAAGAAGCCAAATTATCGTAATTATTGGACTATATGTCCATAGTACATAGAATTAGCACTAGCTTGTACATTGTATATATTCATTGCAAACTGTGACGCCTTCCCTGTGACCTGTACTGAACCCTGGGTATTTACAATAAAGGTCTTCATTCATTCATTGTCTGTGCAAGGAGCTTCCCTATAAGCTCCTTGTACAAACAAACAAACAAACAAACAAACAAACAAACAAACAAACGAATCGAATAAGTAAAGAAACTACGGTAGCCGAGAAGTATATAGTAGAGGGGATTCATTCCTCAAGCTACCGACATCTTGCACACGCAGTCGTCCCTCAGTAAGACATCTGGAGCCGCATAGTTCCCGTTTAGAACTTTTATTCAGCCTGTCACTACGGTAGCCGAGAAGTGCACATTTTTAAAACATTGATAGAGTACAATTTACATATATTTTTAGAAGTGTCAGGAGAATATCATCGATCTGTTTATGATGTGATTATAGAATGAAAGTGCCTTTCTTTTACATCTTGGATTGTCAACAAACTCAACTGTTAATCTATTTATTTACTTATTTGGAATTGAAACAACGTAACACTGGCTGCAAAGGCAGTAATAGTTGATATTAGACATCACATTGAACAAATACTAGTAATATAACATACACATATATCTTGGACTCAGTTGCACTTAAAAGTCTCTTAGAATGTAATGTACACAACCAAAGATTTAAGCCATCTGACTCTACCCCTAGCCTGACTAAATCTGCGCTCCTAGCGGCCGGCCCGGTATTACACCTACTGGTATTCTGGGGGGCGGCTGGTGTAATACCGGGCCGGCCGCTAGGAGCGCAGATTTAGTCAGGCTAACTCTACCCCCTCTTCACAGCGAGTGGTCCAGGCCAGGTTCCAGGCCGTACCGACTCTCCGCCGCTCCAACAACGGCGCCTTCACCCTGCAGGGGGCATACCGCGTCTGCCGTCTCCCGGGCAACCAGCTCGCACTCATGCCTGAGGGTAAGGGCAGTCACGTGACAATGACGTGCACAATCCGCCATGTTGGTGGGTTAAACCTGTTCGGACCATGACGTAATATTGAGTCCGCCATTTTGGTGGGTTAAACATGAAGAAGTGTGATTAGTTTGCAGAGGGTGTCCCTAAACTAAAGGTGTTGATAACTGCTAAATAAACAACAGCGGAAACAAGCAAATAATCTACCTTCAACATGCTACCTTTCTGGCACAAAATGAATAAATCTGCTCGTTCTTCCCTGTACAGAGTCTTACCTGCCAGCGGAACTAGCCGAATACGAGATGATGCCGTCTCCCTGGAGTTATCCTCCCCGCCGCGGGGAGGCGCCCCCGTCCTACCACTCCCGGGTCGACTACTACGAGAACGGCACGGAGAACGGGTCGGTCCGGACGCCGCTCAGGCGATCCAACGCCCCGTCAGAAGTCGACGTGGACCTCTAGACGTCACAACGTAACAAACGCTCTGATTGGCCAGCAAGCGACGTATGGGAGAAAAGGCGGCACCTCTTTCATCTACGTCCTCTGATTTTCCAAAGACTGGGAAGCCCTAAATTATTTTTTACTTCTTACTTTTTTTAGCACTTATTTTCTAATACGGTAACATGACAGCTAAGCTGACTCTTGATTGGTTAGCAATGCAGAAACATTCCGTATAAAGTTATTCATTTTTTATATAATCTACATCTTCTCGACGACAGTAATGCACATATTTTTTATGTATGTTAAAGGAAAGAGTTTAATGTAAGGAGACATTTTGTATTTTTATTTACAAATATCGTTCAGTATTCACATGGTACGGTGTTGTGGAGTGGGTGCAAGGGAACAAGATGTCCTTGTAAATAAGATCATACTATACAGGAGGAAATATATTTTAGTTCGTTTATGTGTCAAAGGATACACGTTCACTTGTCCTATAGGACAACTTTCGTCGTCTACGCAAACCATGTCATTTGCATAGATGGAAATTGTCCCTCTGGGCCACCGTACACTGACACTAGGTGTACACAGTATCTGTTATCTGACAATTTTGGACAACTCTAGCAAAAGGTTACGTTAAGCAACGATTTGAAACGTATGTTGTTCCTGAAATTCGGAAATGGCTTCCAAGTTCAAGGTATAGTAGGGCAGATAACTGAAATAATCTTTCAAATCGTGATACAAGCACCAAAACTTAGTACAAATACTCATGAGACATTACTCTTTTGAAAAAGTACGCGGGCCACTTGATTTGACTTTTGGCGCCCCCTAGCGGCGCTTTTTGGTACTGCAGCCGACCTTCCGGGCTTTGTATCTCCTGTTCTAAACATCCTACAGTCATGATTTTTATATCGTAGAAAGCTGTGACAGTAAGGAAGAAGTGAAGTGACGTAAATTTGGTTTCTCTAGATGCTTGCGTTAGAACTGCAAAAGCGTTTTTTGCCGGTGCAAAAATTTGCTCCAAGGGCGCTTTTTGGTA